ATCATGATGTCCTTAAATACATGATTAATAAGCTTCAATTCAGTGGGTGCATTGCCTAATGGCTATTACTTCTATAAGAGTTTAATTTTACGATTGTTATACGACCTGAGAAGAAACATGGAAATGGTGATCATTTATCCCGATTGTCTAATAGTCTTGGCAATGAGCCTATCCCTGATGTTCTTCTCGACACCAAATTATTTGTGGTGGATGTGATTTCCTCTGAGTACAGTGAAATCATTCAGTTTTTGACCTTCCACACTTTTTTGCCGACTTTCATCGAGAAGCTTAAGAAGCGACTCATTCTGAAGAGTGCCCCGTACACGATGATTTAGTGATGCTTTGTACAAATAAGGCAAAGATGGTATTTTAAGACGTTCTATCTTTCAAGACGAAGTACAGTCGATACTAGAGGGTTGCCATTTGGATAGTTGTGGTGGTCATTTTACAGGCGACAATACTGCTCGCAAGGCTTTAATGGTAGGATATTGGTGGCCTTCAATGTTTTTTGATGCATACCAATTTGTTTGTCGTTGTGATCCCTGTCAATAAATGGGTCGACCTACGGGCACTTTAGCCATGCCGTTAGTACTAATCTTGGCACAGGCATCGTTTAAAAAATGGGATAATGATTTTGTCGGTCTCATCGCACCAACATCAAAACCTGGCCAGAAGCGGTATATTTTAGTCACCACGGACTATGTAGCAAAATAGGCAGAGGCTATTGCTATCCGCCATGATAATGCCAGTACGGTGGCCACTTTTCTTTACGAGAATATAATAACTTGATTTGAGTGTCTGAAAGAATTGGTTAGTGATCGCGGCACCCATTTCAGAAATGCTATTATAGCTGTCTTGACGAACACATATGAGATTAAGCATCAAAAAACTATTCTATATCATCCTCGTGTAAGTGGATAAACGAAAAAGACCAACGAAATTTTGTGCAAGGTTTTGACTAAGACAATTTTGGAGGCGACTATCGATTGGGAGACCAAACTCTTTGCAGCTTTGTGGGCATATCGTACCGCATATAAAGTAACTACCAATACTACTCTGTTTCAATTAGTTTATAGCAAAGAGACAATTTTACCTATCAAGTTGGAGGTTCAAAGTTTACGAATTGCCTTGGATGAACGTCTCAGTGACAACGAGTCGTTATACTTTTAGTTGGCAAAATTGGATGAATTAGATGAAATACAAGCTATAGCTCTTTTCAGCATGGAAGCAAGTCAAAAACAGAGAAAGAGTTATTATGATAGTAAACTGCGTCCGAAGAATTTTATGCCCAATGATTTGGAATTACTGTATGATAGCTGGTTTAATCATTTTCCAGATAAATTTCAAGTTCGCTGGCATGGGCTGTATCGAGTGATTGAAGGTTTTTCCAATGGATCTATTCAACTAGAGGATTTCGTGCACCATCGATTCAGTACCCGCATTAATGGGAACCGATTACAGTTATTTAATACATAAAATCTAGGACGGGTATTCATTTTTTGGGGAGAGGTGACTTCGAATGGACTCGAGATAGACCTAGGTATGGTATAAGTACATTAAGGTGTAGAGGCGGCTGAAAAGATAGTTAGTAATTATTAATATGTGAGATGGGACGTAGGTGAAAAACGGACAGTATGCATAACCTGTTGTCATTATCACCAAGTAATAAAAGAATAGGAGTGGGGTATCAATAAGAAATCATTCTGTGGTGTTGTTACAGTCACAAGTGACAATTGAAGATGTTCAAGAATAGATGAATCAACTGCAGTATCAGTTGGAACTCCGTGATGCCCAGATCTTGAAACTAGAGGCTCAAGTCCGTGAATTGGGAGAGTATAATGAAGATCTCTCAAACCACTTGAGGAAGGAGTCGATGGACAGATTGGAGGAGGAAGAAGATTTGAATTTAGAACCAGAATTGGTGGAATCCACATTATATAATGCAACAAATGATCAATTGGATAGGCCATAGGAAATAGTAACTTTATAGAGTTTTGTTAAGTAGTTTTTAGATAGGTAATAATTGTGTGTTTGCGAGGACACTGCACAAATAGGAGTGGGGCTATGTAGAATAGATATTAATTCGTTTTTGTAAGATATTGATAAAATAGACTAATAGTCCATAGAATAGTCAGTTCAAGAGGACTGATGATTGATTTAGTTATTAAAAGCAGTTAATTACGTGATTATGGTTAGAATCTGGGAATAGTGAGTAAGTATATAGGAGTTGTAGAAGTTAGTATGAGGGCCAAATTGTGATAGTCATGAGCCGGGATAAGCTTGGTGCTACCTCTTTGTCTCTTTGTTTTTTTTCTTTGTTGTTGAAGAGTAATGGATAGTTTTTCAATACTGAGAAGTGAGTCTGTGGAATAAATCAGAGATTGATTTATGAGTTATTGATTATGTAATTGGAGTACTCAGTGATTGAATTATATGAATTATTGGAAGATTAGGACTATTGTTTATTGAGAGCTGTGTGTGTTTCGACAGAGGAAGTCTGTAATTATAGAAATTATGTGAATTTAGATTAGTTGGAGTGAAATCTGTTATTCCTGGTGTTGGATGGAAATTATTGTGTTTTGAGCGGTATTTTGAGAGTGCATGATTGCACACTGTTGTTATCAGTTGATGAAGGAGTATTGTTACTAGGAGAAAGCATTGTAGTGTTTCTTAGTATTTTAGTGGTTCGGAATACAGTTAATTGTGTGACCCTAACAAGTAAAACTCATGCACTTAGTCTTTCCCTGTGTTCAAATTCCCCTATACAGGTTTATTTTGAAAAGAATTATAGAATAAGAAAAACGACAACCACAATATCTTTTCTATGAAAAAAAAAAATATCATATATATTCATCAAATATGTTGAAACATCAAAAATATCCCTCTATACTTGAAAGTAGCAAATCTACCTCTCACTTTTGTGATAATAGCAAATTTATCTTTAAATGTGATAAGGTATCACTACTCTTCTATTTTTAGGTACATTTGGGATCCTTTTTAGTACTTTTTGGTGTCGCATGTAAACAACTCTAAGTTTATTGGCAATAGAAGCCAAAGACATGAAACCAAAGTTGATATTAGAGGCTTTTGTATGCTAGAGATCTAGTAAAAGTTTGTGGAGACAGTTTTATAGGATGGCATTTTTGAATACCTAGAAAAGTAATTGATGTCAATGAAGTGAAAATGGTTACTAGCCTTGAAATCCTTGATAATATCAAATCAAAAAAATATAGTCCAAGAGCTTCTTTCAACCTATTAGTCACGTTTTCTATGAAATTTGTAGGTCGAAGCTCAACATTAGTAATATTCTTGTCTATGTTGGTTCTTGAAATCATATTCAAAATATGAAATAAATAAATAAATAAATAAATAAATAAGGATTTGTCGGTACTCACTTGTTCTTTGTGTATGTCAAAGAGTGACTTTTGCTTCATGTACTTGACATATTTTCCTACAATATATATTTTAAAGATCATTGTATTGTAGTTCACAAATTCTTGTAGCACCATTAGAGATTTCAGTTTGTTGAGACTCCACATGTGAGACAAA